TCCTTCCTTCCTTCCTTCCTTCCTTCCTTCCCTCCCTCCCTCCCTCCCTCCCTCCTCCTTTCTCCAGACCCCCACTTCCTTCTGGCACTGATGACTTTCATCTAGTAGGGCAGTGTTTCTCAACCTTGACAATTTTAAGGCATGTGGACTTCAACTCCCAGAATTCCACAGCCAGCATTGCTGGCTGTGGAATTCTGGGAGTTGAAGTCCACATGCCTTAAAATTGTCAAGGTTGAGAAACACTTAGTAGGGTAATGAAACATCTGCAAGGAAACAACCCAAGCACAGCTGGCTGGGGGATCCGGAGAGTTGAAGCCCGTCCATCTTCAAGATGCCAAAGTTGACAGACGCAGCTCTTCCAATTTCTGATTTCCCCTTTAACTGACAGCATCCCCCTCTCCCCTTCGTTCTCTCCCTCTCTCCTGCAGGCAGCCACCCTTCTAGGAGGTGAGGACAGGCTTTTTCCTCAACAGTCCCCAGCCCGAAGACAGCCCCTATCAGCTCGCGGTAACGGAACCCCTGGCATCTTCCTGGCACCCCTCTAGACAAAGCGGGAGATTGGCGCAGAAGGCCGACACTCTACACCCCGTGGCTCGGGGACCATCTGATAGGACTCGGTCGAAAGACAGGATCCTTTCCTGGAACCAGAGATTTCCGAAACGCCCCTCCCGCTTTCAGGCGCAGACCCACAGCCTTTGTGTCCTGGAAAGACGACGACAAAAATTGCCTCTGCCCTCGTGTGACATGCCAAAGAAGGCCCAGCGAAATAGAGAATGGAGCTCTGGGTACCTGTGGGCCACGGTCGGCCGTGATTCAAGGTTTAGCAGAACCTTCTGCAGGCTTCGATGGGCGAGACGAGGATTGTTGTCGTCGTTGTTAGTCGCGAAGTCGTGTCCGACCCCTCGCGACCCCACGGACAACGTTCCTCCAGGTCTTCCTGTCCTCTACCATCTTCTGGAGTCCATTGAAGCTCAGGCCTCCTGCTTCAGGGACTCCATCCAGCCACCTCCTTCTCTGTCGTCCCCTTCTTCTCTTGCCCTCCATCTTTCCCAGCATCAGGCTCTTCTCCAGGGAGTCCTTCCTTCTCCTTAGGTGGCCAAAGTACTTTGAGTTTCAACTTCAGGATCTGGCCTTCTAAAGAGCAGTCAGGGTTGATCTCCTCCAGGACTGACCGGTTTGATCGCCTTGCAGTCCAGGGGACTCTCAGGAATCTTCTCCAGCACCAGAGTTCAAAGGCCTCCATTCTTTGGCCTTTCTCAGCCTTTCTTATGGTCCAACTTTCACAGCCATACATTGCAACTGGGAAGACTCCATGGATAGTACTAAGAGACAAGGATAAAGCAGGTATTTTGCAGAGAACTGGAAGAACTGGAAGAGACATCTAGATCAGGGCTTTTCAACCTTTTCACCCATTGTACCACTTTTAAGATATGGCAATATCCGAGTACCACCAGTCGCCTAGCAAGGTGTCAAAAACTTGATGACCAAAAAAAAAGGGAAAAAAGTGATAAAGTACAGGTAGTCCTCGACTTACAACAGTTCGCTTAGTGACTGTTCAAAGTTACAACGGCCCTGAAAAAAGTGCCCCCCCCAAGCCACAGCCGAGCAAGACACCTGCCTGCCCACCCAGCGGCACTCTTCCTCCTGTCCCAGGTTTCCATTGTTGTGAGCATTTCTGTTGGGGATTGGCAGTGGGGGTGGGGTGGGGAGTGTTTGGTTTTTATTCCCTCCGTCTGCTGGGTGGTTGCAGCAGGTTTTGGTCCCTTCACATGACCCTGGGACACTGTGACCGTCATAAATATGAATCAGTTGCCAAGCATCTGAATGTAAATCACAAGACCCTGGAGAGGCTGCAACATTCCAGCTGATTGGCGCTTCTTCTGGACTCAGCAGAAGCACCAGGATCAGCACTGAGCTCCAGCTGGATGCTGGCGCTGATCCTGGCGCTTCCGCTGAGTCCTGACAGCCCCGAAGAAGCGCCAATCAGCTGGATCCTGGTGCTGATCCTGGCGCTTCCGCTGAGCCCTGACAGCCCTGCAGCTCCAGCCGTCTCTCGCTCAGGCTTGTGCGGTGCTGCCACCGGTTCAGCTCATTCCCCTCCCCCACTACCACTTTTCTAGGATGGTCGCGTACCACCTGCCAGGTGCCAATGTACCACAGAGGGTACCCGTACCACTGGTTGAAAAGCCCTGGTGTAGAGGACTACGGGAAACGACCTCCAAGATCCAGTACAGGCAGTTCTTGAGTCACGGCCACAGTTGAGCCCCAAAATTGATGTGGCTAAGTGAAATATTTGCCAAGGACGTTTTGTCCCCATCTTACGACTTTTCTTGCCGCCGGTGTTTAAGCGAATCGTTGCGTTTGTTAAGCCAGCAACACGGTTGTTAAGTGATTCTGGATTCCTCGCTGACCTGGCTCGTCCGAAGGTCGCAGAAGCGGATCGCGTGACCCCCTTCCCCCCAGGAAGGCCGCAACCCGTCATCAATATGAACCGGTTGCCGAGCGTCTGAATTTTGATCACGCGACCGCGGAGGAGGCCGCAACGGTCGTAAGTGTGAAAAGCGGTCATCGGTCACTTCTTCGGTGCCGTCGTGACTTTGAGCGGTCGCCAAATGAACCGTTGTAAGTCGAGGACCGCCTGCAGGTGGCAGTTGTGGGGGAAAATACGGGAAGACGGGAACGTGTGCGAAAGAAGCTCAAGATCCCTCTCTGTCGATTCTCTTTGGCATACGAGGGAGGGAGGGAAGGGGACGCGCTGTCGGATCCTGTTAGGGTAGCCTGTGTCAATAAAGGAGATTACCAGGGTGTTTTGTGTCTTGTGTTCTGACCTGGCCTACCTCGAAGGGCTGAAAGCAAAGGACGATGGGCTGGCATTTGCCCCACCTCAGGGCTGCCCTGCCATCCGATTCTAATGCAAATGCAGGCTCTAGCTGAACGCAAGGATGGATTCGTGTGATAGCAGAAGCAGAAAGGACACACCTGGCTTGAGGTGGACGGGAGGCCATCGGAAAACTCGGCGTGACATTGCGTGGGCGGCTCCCATGTGTTTGAGGGCAAGTGGGGGTGGATAGCAATGGCAGACTTATATACCGCCCCACAGTGCTCGGCAGCCCATCTCTGAGCGGGTTACAGAGTCAGCATCATTCCCCCCCCCAACAGTCTGGCTCCTCCTTTTACCGACCTCGGAAGGATGGATGGGTGAGTCAACCTTGAGCCGGTGAGAATCGAACTGCTGGCTGTGGGCAGTGAATTAGCCTGCAATACTGCATTGTGAAGGAAGGAAGGAAGGAAGGAAGGAAGGAATAGCATTAACACTTAGACTTATATACCACTTCACAGGGCTTTACAGCCCCTCTCTAAGCAGGTTACAGAGTTAGTATATTGCCCCCCCCCCAACAATCTGGGTCCTCATTTTACCGACCTTGGAAGGATGGATGGATGAGTCAACCTTGAGAATCGAACTGCTGGCTGTGGGCAGTGAATTAGCCTGCAATACTGCATTGTTGAAGGAAGGGAAGAAGGGAGGGAGGGAGGGAGGGAGGGAGGAAGGAAGGAATAGCAATAGCCCTTAGACCAGTGGTTCTCAACCTGTGGGTCGGGACCCCATTTGGGGTCGATCGACCATTTCACGGGGGTCGCCAACCAAGGCTGTCCGCCATTTTTTTTGTCCGCCATTTTTTTCCCCTTTTCCGGCGGGTGCCTTACCTCCCTTGGGCTGGGCCAGCTGGTGGTCGGCCTGCTCCGTCTCTGCCGCTTGCCAGCTACGCCTCAGCCGGTGCAGGGGGCGGAACCACGCATGCGCGGCGCTCCCGGGCAGGGAAAGTCCTCGACTTACGACCGATTGGGTAGTCCTCGACTTACGACCGGTTTAGTCCTCGACTTACGACCGGTTTAGTCCTCGACTTACGACCGGTTGGGGTCGCGGCATTAAAAAGGTTGAGAACCACTGCCTTAGACTTATATACCACTTCACAGGGCTTTATAGCCGCTCTCTTAAGTTTACAGAGTCAGCATATTTTGCCCCCAGCAATCTGGGTCCTCATTTTATCGACCTCGGAAGGACGGAAGGCTGAGTCCTCCTCCTCCTTTGAGGAATTCTGCGAGTTGAAATCCACAAGTGCCCAAGGTTGAGGACCCCTGTATCTCTTCTATCTTTGTGTGCTTCCAGGCTCTGGTGCCATCTTTGATTTGACTCCAGTGGGCATCGTGACCTTTTTTGGACCATCTGGGTGGACCTCTCTGGATCTTCTCCCACCGCAGCACGTTTAGCCGACCCTGGAGAGGACCTCTCCTCTGGGGTCTGGTTGCTTTGCCCATCTCTTTCCACGACGTTCTTCCTGCCCGTCGGGGAGCTGCTTCTCTCCGGAAAAATTGACAATGACAAAACCGGTCTGTTTCCAAGGAAGTCGTTCGTTCATTTCCCGGAGGATCTGCTGAGTAGGAAATCAAATGGCTTTTGGCTTTTAATAAGCCCTCGGATAAACAACCCAGTAAGCACTTGGCGAAATGACTGGCCGAGGAATAGGCGGAATAAACGGCTATTATTAAATCTCTCGTTTCTGGAGAAACCCAGTTTTTTTTTTAAAAAAAAAATTCCTTTTCCTCGGAAAAGGAGATCGTGGGAATATTTGAAAGGACCGTTTGCTCGTACGTGTCTGCAGCGGGAGCACCCAGGAGACGCCCTGAGAAGTCCAAAACGTTAGGACTTTTCCCACAAACGTCACAAATCTGTTTTCTGGCTGCTGAAGGGGTTCATTTCGCTGGGTTCACACCGCAGTAAGT